TTCTTAGTAATGTCTTCCTGTAATCATCCTATTTAAAATTAAACCCATTCTTCAAAATTCTTTATTTCTCATCACAGTACTAACCACTATCTAACATATTACACATTTTCACTTGTTTATTTTTTCTCCTGTCTCTTCACCCTAGAATATGTTTACTGTACCACTGCATTCTGTGCCTAGAACTTTAGCAGAGTAGGTGGCTGAATAAATAACAGTTGACTGAGAATGGGATAAATCTATATGTACAAGGATGTTTTTATTTAGTGAATTAGAATTATACATAATAGTGGGATTCACTATGCCATATTCACAGGACTATTCACTGCAGCATTATTTGTATGACCACAAATAACAAAAATAACATTAATATCCATAATGTTTTTAAGTAACTACAAAGTAATAATAAAGTTTAACATTCAAGTTTTTAATATTTCCTAGTGCTTTAGATATGGTAACATTTAAACACTGAAACAACCCTGTAAATAGGTAATATATTATTAATCCATGGATGAAAAAATTAAGGCACAGAAAGGTTAAGTGATATGCTCAGGTCACAAAACTAGTAACTGGAGATCCAGAATTCAAATCCAGGAAGCCTTATTCCAAAATTAATCTTCCTAGCCACTTATTATGATCTGCTTTCATAAGTCAAATATGATCATATCCCTATAAAACAATGAGAGCAGAACTTCTCTTACCCAATAAGAATGAAACCTATAACTAATCAATTGATTGAAAAGTCACATAAAGCAAGGAATAAAAATATGCTATACATTCTTATTTAAGATGAAAATAAAGTACAAATGTTTATGCAGCAATTTTTTTTTTTTTTTTTTTTAAATAAAAGCTACCCTTTTCTTTTCAGGGCTGGGGTTTAAACTTAGTGGAAGAGCACTTGCCTAGCATGTGTGAGGCACTGGGTTCAATTCTCAGCACCAAATATAAATAAACAAAATAAAGTCCATCAACAACTAAAAAATATTTTAAAAAATAAAATAAAAATAGGCCTACCCTTTTCTTCAGGGAATGGCTACACTGGCATTCCTTGTACTTTCTAGCAAAACCACACTGATTGGATTTCTTTAAGTGTAGTGCAACCTTAAAACAAATGCCAAGCAGTCATGCACAATCTTCTACCTCAATGATTTTTTTTTTTAAAGAGAGAGAGGAGAGAGAGAATTTTTTAATATTTATTTCTTTTAGTTATTGGCGGACACAACATCTTTGTATGTGGTGCTGAGGATCAAACCTGGGCCGCACGCATGCCAGGAGAGTGTGCTACCGCTTGAGCCACATCCCCAGCCCCTACCTCAATGATTTTTCCAAAAGTCATTTACAGACATCTTGCCCACACCTAAGTCAATTACAAGTTTTTTCAGGAACTTATCCTTATACAGTCTTTCTAAAGCCATATAAAGTTTTCATATAAACTATGTACTGGTATTTTATTGTACTGGTATTTTATTGGTTTATGTAATAGTTACTTAAATTTATACAACAAACACCAGCACACACTAATTTAGGAATAAACACAATTGACTCCCTGTCAAGAGTACAATTCAGGGGCTAGGGATGTAGCTCAAGCGGTAGCACGCTCGCCTGGCATGCGTGCGGCCCAGGTTCAATCCTCAGCACCACATACAAAGATGTTGTGTCCRCCGAGAACTAAAAAATAAATATTAAAAAAATTCTCTCTTTCTCACTCTCCTTAAAAAAAAAAGAGTACAATTCAACTGATGAGAGCAGAAACCCTTAAATATATTAGAAAATGGAGGATAGTCTTTTTCAACTCATCAGTCCAGTGACAGGGTAAGAGATTCTACATTAAGAATTTATAGATGTGCACATATATTAGAAAAAAAGTATACAAAGACATGCAACATACCCCAAATTAAAACTAGAAGAATGAGACTTAATTGTTTAATATAGGTATATGTGGCTAACCTACAAGCATGCATTATTTTTTTTTTAATTTTTAGAACCAGGGATTGAACTCAGGGGCATTCAATCACTGAACCACATCCCCAGCTCTATTTTTGTATTTTGTTTAGAGACAGGACCTCATTGAGTTGCTTAGCACCTCACTGTTGCTGAGGCTGGCTTTGAACTCGGGATTCTCCTGCCTCAGTCTCCTGAGCCTCTGGGATTATAGGCAAACCACTGGTATTACAGGCGTGTGACACCACGCCGGGCTAAAATAGGTTTGCTTTTTAAAGTAAAAAAAGAAATCAAATGCTGCAAACTAGATAAAAGTATTAACAATTTATAGAAGAAGAAAGAGACTCAATGAAGGGAGAACTTGCCCGAAATTGCAGAATTCACCAGAAGCTAAACTGAAAGGCTCTAATTATATATGGCTAGAGTTTCAAAGATCACATTTCTCCACAATGTCAAATTCATTGCCCGCCTCAAAACAAACAAACAAACAAACAAAACCCTCAGATGAGTATGAATTTTTATTTTTGGTACCAGGGATTGAACCCAGGGCCATTTAATTGAGCCACATCCAAACCCTATTTTGAGACAGGGTCTCGATATATTGCTGAGGTTGGCCTCAAACTTGTGATCTTCCTGCCCATCCTCCCCAAGTCGCTTGCTGGGATTACCAGGGTATGCCATCACAGCCATCTTGAATTTTTAAATACACAAAAAAAGCATCATATATTTGTTTTTTCCTGCTAGGTAACTAATGAAGCACACTGAAAGATTTTCAAAATGAGTATAAACTTGATTCTACAGCTCAATTCAGGCTTTACTTGCTATAATTCAAAAGAATGAGGACAGCCAGGTGTAGTAGTACACATCTGTAATCCCAACTACCCAGGAGGCTGAGGCAGGAGGATCACAAGTTTAAAGCCAGCCCTGGAAACTTAGCAAGACCCTGTCTTGATATAAAAAAATAAAAAGGGCTGGGGATGTAGCTCAGTGGTAGAGGAAAAAGAAAGAATGAGGGTCATACCCCACTATACATTTAAAAGGAAATTTTTCTTTACTCCTGTAAAAGCAGAAAAGAGATCACTTCTTCCTCCAGGGGCAATTGCATAGCTCATTTAGTTTTTTCTCTCTCTGTCCATATTGTCATTGTCTAGGTGTTCAAACAGCATAAAGCTCTTAGGGAAGTTACTATATATGGATATTTGGGGAATGGACTCCTTTCATATCCCTGCATTAGTTCTCCTTATAACACACGCCCCTATTCTCTCTCATTTGAAATATCTTAAAACAAACACCTAAACTAGGTATTGATACTCAACTGATTCCAAAATAAACAGAAGCAATGGAGAACTACAAAAAAAATCTTAGAAATATCAGATGGGCTGAGAAACATGATAAATATACTTTAGGGAGTTCCAATCAAATTACATGTCACACAAAAAAAATAAAATAGAGAAAAACTTGAGATTTCCAAAACATTTTACTTTCACTAATCTCAATGTATCAAATGAGGAAATTGAGAGCCAGCTCCTAGCAAGCAGCATCATACTGTTCTATTGTGACCTTGTGGAGATTCTAAGTACGTGTTGAATACTGTTCCTGAAGCAAACAGAAATCTAATGTTGTCACTCTCTGGTTGAAAAAACTTTTGATGGTTTCCCATGCCTACAGATTCAAAAGTTTAAACCACTGTGTAGAGGTTTGAAGGCCTCTAAAATCAGGCTCTAGTTTATCTTTTCAGTCTCATTTTCCACCCTCAATTCTCTAAAACCATCACAATAGACACACTTCACACTTTSCCATCTCCATACAGTGCAACCTGTTGTACAGCAGTTAAAAGCCCAAGAAAGGCTCTGGAAAGATGGACCTGAGTTTAAATATGACACCATCACATACTAGCTATGTAAGCTAAGCATATTACTCTAAAGCTTCATGTCCTTCATCTTTAAAATAGGTACTGTGACAGTTGGAACCTGAGTATTAAATGAGATTAATGTATTTTTTTGTTAAATGTTTAGCAAAATGCTTACAACTTTGTAAATACTTAGTAAATAGTATTCTACCTGAGTGCCTGAGCACTAAGATTTTTCCTAATACTGAGGAATAAATGAATAGTTAGCACATTTCATATTAGGATATAAACGTAATACTAACTTAAGTTCTTTTCTAAAGTAAATAATGATAAACAGCAGCAATACTATTTGAGAGCATTTAACTGTTTATAATGCCCTTCTAATATCCATAAACTCATTTGTTCTCCACAACATCCTCAAGGGAGTAGACACTTTTAAAATATGCAGACAGGAGAACTGCTAACAAAACCCTGGTTATCCACCCTAATGGTCTCCTACAACCAGATTCTCCAGCTGAGAGGTGAAGTGCTTAGTGCCAAATGTTCTTAACGTAAAATTCACTAAAATGCAGATTCCTCAAGTATATCAAGCACAGGAGTCTATGAATGAGCCGAGGTGTAACAAACCCCTCAGAAGCCATCGATGATCATATTTATGTTGTACTGTTTCGGTATATGGTGTCCTCCCACAACTACAGAGCAGGAGCCAGGCCTGTGTGTAGGTGGTTCCTCCCCCACCACAGCCCGCAACACAAGACCCGGTACCAAAGAGGCCCTGGATGAATGTTTGTGGAAATAGTACGGGACAGTGGTGGAAATGATCCGGAAACCTGAATTCACGCCAACTCTAAGACAGGAATTATACATTTCGGGTAGATCTATAGAGTCCTTGGGCAGAGATGATCTGACAGGTAACTAGGTTGACAAGGATGATTGAGGACTAGCGCCGCAAAGAGAAACGAGGGAAGCTGACCCGCTGAGGGTAGAGGGGCACGCAGAAGATGTGCCTGGCTGGCAGAGATTGCTAGAAGACTGAGACCCGACAGAGGCTCGGAGACTAGGGGAATCCGGACAGTTGGCATCTGATGGGGGGGGGGGGCTCCTGCTGGTCTGAGAAAGAGCCCGGACCCAATCTGAGGAGGGTTATGCGATCCTCTAGGGGCCCACTCCCCATCCCGCTGGGACATCTGCTGCGCCGACTACTCGCTGCTACCTGAAACTGCAGCAGCTTCTCTGTCTGCTCCTGGGTTAGATCCCGTTCCTCAGGCGCCGCCATTTTGCCGCCGCCTCTACGCTCCTGACCCGTCCGCACCGTCACCCGCCGGAAGTGACCTCAGGCGCAACCACTTCCGGTCTGAACGGTCGCCGGTACGCAACTGCGTGTGCGCGCGCTGGCTCACACGCCCTTTCCTCAGCCTGCTACCAGAGGGCGCTACTCGCCGGTCAATGCCGAACAATTCCGGAAACTGCCGAGGGGCTATCGGTACTAGTTGCGCTTTGGTTTCAAGCCTCAAACGGTGCCGGGAGACCCAAGATTCCTGAGTAGAACGCAGAGAACCGAAGGGGCTTGACTGTGTTTCGGAAAGGTCCCAAATGGCGTTCGGCCGATTTGGACTGCTCCCTAACTATCTTCCAATCACTTCCGATAATCCTGAAGGGTTCTCAGCAAATCGTGACCGTTGGGAAATGTCGGCCGTTGACACTTGATTCACATCCTGACTGTTCAAAAGTTCCGGATCGTCTCGGGAGGCTCCGAAAGTCTGAATACTGGTGGGGCGTTTCCGCCGCCACCTTCGTACAGGAAGCTGAGGGAAAGCTTTTTGTTTAAATTGCGATCTCCGCAGCATTTGGCAGCAGTGTTTGGACCTGGCTTCCTGTCTGTTGATGGTACTCCCGTATATGGGGGGAGCTTTCCAAAACCTTGTAGCCAAGTTACCTTAGCCTCAAGCTTTCTCAGGTCATTCTGCACTTAGCACCAAGGGCCTAGACCAGTGGACCCCTACAGCCCAAGAAGGATCCCAGGACTTGGTTCAGGAGAGTTAGGTTCAAGTTCTAGTTACCACCTTGCAAATGCTGGGCGTCCGTCGGCTAACCTCTTGGGCTCCATCTTACCAATGACTGAATAAGATTTTCCCCTAGAGCCCTGTCATTACCGCCTCTATTCATTTCCCTTGGAGAAGTTTCCTTACCCTTTTCATATGCTATTTCTGTTTTATCCCATCTCTGAGTCTCTACTTCCCTTGCAAAAAGAGAAGCCTAACACTTCTCCTTAGATCTCCCATTTTCGTTACTGCTACTTCATGCATAGAGCTGGGTTTGGTACACACTTTTCCACTGCCATATTAAATATAAATATAAATTTGTGGGGCTGGACATGGTGGCAACAGGGGCACTTAACCACTGAGCCCATTTTTATATTTTATTTAGGGATAGGGTCTCTCTGAGTTGCTTAGGTCCTCACTTTGAACTCGAGATCCTCCTGCCTCAGGCTCTGAATTGCTGGGATTACAGGCATACACCACCAAGCCAGGCATCATTTTCTATTTTGAGACAGGACTCTCTAGGTTACTGAAGCTGGCCTTGAACTTGTGATCCTCCCATCTCATCCTTCTGAACTGAAGTGATTACAACCCAATACCATTGTGCCCAGTGGGAATTTTTCCTCTTAACACTACCATGCCACTGCCAGCAAGGAATTTGGCCTCCTGGGCCCCACCTTCCATTATAATCCCCACCCCTGCTAACAGAAAGTGCTTTGAACTTCAGTAAATTCTCTCAAGAGTTAAATTAAAGAATAGAAGGACTTGCGGGTACAGTGGCACACACCTGTAATCCCAGTGACTCCAGAGGCTGAGACTGGAGGATCGTGAGCCAGCTTCAGCAAAAAGTGAGGCGCTAAACAACTCATTGAGACCCTGTCTCTAAATGAAATACAAAAAATAGGACTGGAAATATGGTTTAGTGGCTGAGCTCCCCTGAGTTCAATCCCTCTTGCAAAAAAAAAAAAAAAAAACCCAGAATGGAAGAACTTATATTTTGCTTATTTTCTTTCTAGTCTTGATCAGGTTTCAGCAATAAAATGGAGCCCTTGCTCAATGGGCTACAGTCATCTGCTGGGTATTAACCAAAAGATGGGCTTACAATTGTAAATATGTGCCTCTCTCAAAAAAGTGGTGGCATTGGCATAACCTGGGGGTGGAGTAGGCCTCCAGATATCGAGGGTTCACCGGTGGGATAGGGATATAGTTGGTAGAGTGCTTACCTCACATACACAAGGCCCTGGGTTCAATTGCCAGCACCACAAGAAAAAAAAAAAAAGAAAATGGCAAAAGAAAACCCATATGGCATTTGTGCAGGCCCAACCAGAGAGCCAGTGTAGAGATTCAGTATTTCTGACAAAAATGGCCTTCAAATCCTTGAAAAATAATCTAGGCAATCCAGGTTTTGTAAAGGTGGTCCACTTTATGGTTTGAACATAGCCATTGCTGCTCTGCCACTGCGACTTTTTTTTTTTTTTTTTTTTTTTGGTACCAGGGACTGAACTCAGGGGCACTCTGAGGGCACCACTGAGCCACATCCCCAGCCCTATTTTGTATTTTATTTACTGACAGGG